TTTGTTTGGTAAATTTGTTTCTCACAGGAATATGGGTTAGCAATTCTAAAACTACTATCTCTACATGTATACATGTATAGCAAATATGTAAATGTAGTTACAAATAAACAAAAGAGAAGTGCTAGAATAATCTCTATGGTGCTAGATTAGATTTGGAGGTATCAATATAAATTAACTTGTTTTCTGTATATACAGATAGATAGTAATACAGAAATAAACACAGATGTGTATATACACAGGACAGGGTAAAAGTAGGTTTACAGCTGTGAATATGCAAAACACAGAGCTTATTCTTGTATTATTATTTATTAATTATTATATTATTTTTCACACAAACAACTAAACCTACTTTTGCCCCCACCCTGTATATGTGTGGATTAGTATAAAAGTATGCATTTCCTAGCTGTGACCGCTGAAAGGCCTAGAGGCAGTAACATTTCAGTAGCAATGAGCACAGCTAGTACCCAGAAGCTGGTTTCTAAATACTATTTTCCAGTAAGATGGACCTGGGCTCTTTGGAAAGTGGGTAATCCAGGCCTGGGGCAGGGGAAATACAAGATGAGCTTCCAGCTCATCTTGCAGAGCCAGAAAGTAAGAAATTACTTAAAAAAACACACACACAACATACAAAACATGTTGAAAGGACACAAAAGCAAACTTCAAAGGGCTCCCTGTGGCCAAGGCTTGAAAAATTTGAGCAACAAAATAAATAACAATAGCTGCTATTCTCATCCAGAGAATAAAATTAAATATCTATCAGTGAGCACTGATATAAATACATGATTCAATAAAATAAATGTGGGAAGGGACAATTCTTTCTTATAGATGAATTATAATGAATAAATATAGAAGGAAGGAATAGAAAAGAAAATCACCATTAGAATATCAGAGTAGTAATTGTTGTAGGCAAGACACACCAGTTAATGCTAAAATTAGTGGCCAAAAATTTAAGGAGAAACAGGATCATTTGTGTAACCTCAAAGTATTTTCCCTAAATATTTATTAATTAAGGAAAACCAGTAACTTTACAGTGGAGAAATCTGGCAGACATCACCAAATCAAGTGATCAAGATTAATAACATCACCTGTAATGTGTCACACTGACATCATGTAACCTCTGATATGAGAAGGACACCTCATCTCTCTGGTATTCTTTCCCAAAATCTGTAAGTTCAAGCTAACTACAAGAAACATCAGAGGAAACCAAATTGAATGACATTCTACAAAATACCTGACCAGCAGGCTTCCAAAGTGTGAAGGTAATGAAATACAAGGAAAGACTGAGGAACTGTCATATTGGAGGAGATGAAGGAAATGTGACAAATAAATGTAAGTGGGATCCTGGAAAAAGGACATTAGTGGAAAAATTGGTGAAATCCTAATAATATCTGTACTTTAATAGTCATTGTTGATCCTTTAGTTCCGATCATTGTGCTAAAGTTATGTAAGATGTTAACATTAGGGGAAACTGCCTGGAGAATATACAAAAGCTCTGTACTTTAGAATTTATTTCTGTGTTGTTAGAGCTTATTTGTATATCTAAAATTATTCCAAAATGAAATTTTTTTAAAGTAAGCTTTAAGCCAGTTGGTGAAAGGCAAATACCATGTGATCTCACTTATAAGAGGAATCTAATGAACAAAATAAACAAACAAGCAAAATAGAACCAGAGACATAGAAACATGGAACAGACTGACAGGGGCCAGAGGGGAGGGGCAGGGAGATAATGGTGGAAAGAAAGGAAAGTACTAGTCAAGGAATATGCATGAATGACCCACAGACATGGACAACGGTGTAGGGACTGACTGTGGGAATAAGGGGCATGCTGGGCAGAAGAGGGCAAAGGGGGAAAAATCACAACTGTAATAGAATAAAAATTTTTAAAAAGAAAAAAAATTAAGTTTTAAAAAAGTAGCCTTTATTACTCTCTTTCAAATGTGTGCATACCTTTCTTGATAGCAAGTTCTGTGAATAAAATTGTTTTTATTCTTAAAAAAATTATTTTGGTAGAAAATGAAATGACTATATAAAGGAAACCTATAAAGAATATATTAAAGTTTCTTAAAGAAAACCCCATAATAGTCAATTAAAGTTAGATGTTTTTACATTATCTCCTATGAGGATAAACCTTGGAGGTTCATTTCCAAACTAGTTTCTGTGTTGACCTAAAGCTATACAGTGGCATTAATCAAGGTCTACAAAATTACAAAGTTGACTGCTAGAGTCTGAATGTTTGTGTCACCCCCAAAATTCATGTTAAAATCCTAACTCACAATGTGATGGTATTTGAAGGAGGGGCCTTAGGGAGATGATTAGGACCCTCCCTCATAAATGAAATTGGTGCCCTTATGAAAGGAGCCCCGGAGAGCTCCTCACCTCGTCCACCATGAGAGCACACAGTGAACGGACAGTCCTCTATGAACCAGAAAGTGGGTCCTCACTAGACACCAAATTTGCTAGCACATTGATCTTGAACTTCCCAGCAACCAGAACTCTGAGAAATAAATTTCCATCATTTGTAGATAACCCAGTTATATCAGCCTGAATAAACTAAAACACCAGTTCTGTTTTAGTCTGAAAGCCAAAAATATGAACAGAAAAAGTTCTAAAACAAGTCCATCCAAGCCCTTTCTCATCCAGCCATACAAAAGACATATTCCATTTAAAGAAATTCTACATACATATCTAATTTCAATAACACTGTCAAACTGGCAATGACTCAGTATTTGATTTTTAAAATAAAATATTTTATGTTGACTTAGAAAAAGTAAGATTGTATAGAGGATTATATGGAAGAAAAATATCAAGCTGTGAACTTTTCTGTAAATTTGTTTTTACTTCCTTTACTTTTAAGTACAATACTGAAATATAAATCAAGAATAATTTTTTAAAAAGATATCTTAAGATATGATTTTGATAGAGGCAAAAAGCTTTAGCAGTATCTTCTTGTCATCTATCATTTAAAAGGAAATTCTTGCCCTGCCCAGGTGGCTCAGTTGGTTAGAGCATTATTCCATACACCAAAAGGTTGCGAGTTTGATCCTCAGTCAGGGCGTATACCTAAGACTGTGGGTTTGATGCCCTTTCACGGCCTGTACGGGAGGCAAGCGATCCATGTTTCTCTCTCACATTGATGTTTCTTTCCCCTCCTTCCTCTCTCTCTAAAATCAATAAACATATGCTCAGGTGAGGATTTTAAAAATATATTAAAAAATAAAATAAAAATAAAAGGGAATTCTTATGCATAAGTCTCGGTCTATGAATCAAATAGGTACTTTACAAATTCAATCCAGTTTAGACCACAACACACAAAATATACTAAGGTGGCATCATTCACATATTCAATCTATCAAGATTCCTATTGCTTCTTCTGCAGCTTAATTTTATCCATCTTTCATAATTCATATGTATAAGCACTCTAATTCTAAATCTATACTGATTTAAATATAAAATGTATGATGGTATAAAACTATGCAGAGATATTCTTACAGATAAATTAATACACTTCTCTCCTTTAAAATAAACTTTAAAAAGTTTTAAACTCACTTTTTAGAACACAAGTAAAGATACCTCACAGAAGTCTGTTAGGAATCCAAATATGTCTCAGGTTACGCCTAACATAACAGAGCGTGTTTTTCAAATCATTTGACTCTTAAGAGATGAAGATTTCAGAGACTTATTTTATTCTGTTAAAATTATCCAAAAACTAGCAAAAAAAATCTTTTAACAATTTTGGTTTTCAAAACAAATTCAAAACAAGAAAATTCCTTTATCATGTATTTCATTAGACACTGTATTTAATTTGATATTGCTTAGAAATTATAATTTATATGTCATGTTTAAAAAATATGCTTTTTTCTTCAGTAAAGAGATTCCTGAGAAGCCTTGAAAACATTTTACAGGCTCTCTCGGGTCAAATTTTAATTTCTCCTTCTGTGTTATGTTTTTTAAATACTCATAAATTTTAGGAATCACGAGCAGGTATAAGTGATTCAATATAAACTTCAGAGGTAAATATAATTCCAACTTTAACCATTAAACAGTTTTATAGCAGGATTTTTTCATTTAAAATTTCATGTTATCTAAATCACTATGTCACTAAGGCAGATACTAAAAACACATAATCATTATTCTCAAAATGTTACTACTTCTGTTTAAATTTACCAAGAAAGACAAGACGTAATTAAACACATCAGTGTGAAATTTTTTTTAGAGCAGGAATAAACTTGACCTTTTTCATATAAACTTTTATTTTTAAAGATCTAAGCAAAATAAAGACCTACTCAGAAACAAGCGCTTGGCATTTAGCTGCTCACAGCACTGTCTTATTTTTGAAATCAATTATTTCAGAAAATTAATACCTCTTTCTAAGAAATAATACAGACCCTTCACTTCAAGAAGTATGGCTTGGGATAGGAGCACATCTACTCATACGCATATTGAAATCTTCAAGTAGTTTCATAGTTGACAGCACTTACTGACAACTAAAAATGGGTCAGCTATCACTTCACATGCTATAATTATATAGCATAGTAGGACAGTATGATTTAATCATCTATGCCAAGGGTCATCAAAATTTTCTTAAAGGGCCAGATTTTAGGCTTGCAGGCCATACAGACACTGTTGCAGCTAATCCACTCTGCCACTGTAGAGCTAAGGCAGCTATAAACAACATGTAATTAATGGGTGAACTATGTTCCAATAAACCTTTATTTACCAAAACAGGCCTGTAGGCCACAGCTTACCAACTTCTGCACTAGGCAAACAGATCTGATTATACAACCCCTTCAGTAAACATATAATCACATGTTCCCCTCATATCTGGAACTTGTTACCTGGGCCATTAGTTATTTAAATAATAAAGGAACCATGAAAATATTTTCTGAGGTCAGAATCTCAGGTAGACTTAAAAGTTAAAATCTGTTAATAAAGCACACATTAAAATATAAGTTGGAAAATGTAAAGTAAGGGTATGATTAAATTTTATTAAACAATCTTACCTTAATCAAATGAAAGAATCTAAACTCTAATACATGTCTGATTTCAAACTCAAAATAATTTTTGCCCAACACTTCAGTTTCTTGTCAAATTCCTGGAAAAACAAAATTAAAACTTTTAAGTCAGATTCCAATAACAGATAAAATGGGGTAATCACACTCCATTTTGTGAGTGTAGCTACAAGATCTGGGTAGACTCCATGGAGCACCTACGTGAGGAGTCTGAAAAGTAAACAGTAAAAAGCAGATTGGGTAAGATGATCAGAATTTGAAGTATCACTGAAAGAGCATTTTGTTTCCCACTGATTTCTTCTGGCCTGAACTTAATACAGCCCCACTCGGAAGTAGGCATTAGCACACAGAAAGCTTCCAAAGACGTCTGGGGCGGGGGTGGGGGGTGGGAGTGCTCTAGGAAAAGGAAAGGGATCTCTTAACAAGAAAGTATAGAAATCCTTCCCCACTTTTTCCTCCATTCTCGCAAGCTTAGCCTCCTGTGGCAGCTGTGGCAAAAGAAGCTATCAGGACCCTAAGACTGATGGAGAGGAACACCTTCCTCTCTGATTAAAGTTGCTGTGGTCCCAAGAGGATGTGGGGAATCCCTGCTGCTTTTTTTCCTCTCCCGCTGTCCTAGATGGGCACAGCTGTAGGTAATGTACATTAGAGAGGGATAAATAAATCCCTACCTTTCTGATCAGAGAATGGAAAAGGGTGACCCCAGAGAATCAGAAGTTACTGGGAGACCCCAAAGGAAGAGCTTGGGAAAGCAAAATTTCAAAATTCCTTATGAACTCCCAGGCTTACCCTTAAGCAGCACATGCACGGATCTGACCCAAACAAGCATACACAGACTTTGAGACTTGAATCCATGGGACAGAGCACTACTAAGTTCCAGGCCAATGGGTGGTGCACATGTGGGACAGATCCAAATCCAAATAGCAGGGCAAAGTCTTTGAAAACTAAACTGAAAATTGATGTTGTAACCACTACCCCCATGGGAACCTGCAGTTTGAACCTAACTGGGCTGATTGCCTACTAAACTAATACATTAACATTCTGCATAGGGTTTAAACAAGACCCAAAGTTTCACAACATTAAGAGTCAAATGCTCAGAATATAGTCCAAAATTATTTGACATAAGAAGAACCAGGAAAATTTCAACTTACGTGTAAAAAGATGACTACACGAAGAAAACACAGATATTGGAATTATCGGAGGAAGATATAAAAAATATTAAAACAACTATTTAAAATGTTTTACCAAGTAAGATTAGACATTCTTAAAAAATGTGGAAAAATAAAAAGACTCAGAGAAGAAATAGAAGGTAGAAAGAACCAAATGTAAATCTTAGAATTAGAGAAATATAAATAACCAAAATTCAAAGCTCACTAGATGAGCTCAATAGTATAATGAAGATGACAAAGGAAAAAGTCAGTGAACTCAATGTAGATAAATAGAAATTATCTAATGTGAACAACAGAGAGAAAAAGACTGGAGGTAGATACACTTCACCTCCTCGCACAACCAAAAGAAGGACAACAATAAATTTAAAAACAAAACACCAGAAATGCCAGAAAATTGAACTATACGGAAGTCCTGCAATCAAGGAGTTAAAGAAACATTCATCCAGACTGGTAGGAGGGAAGGAGACGGGCAGCCGGGGTAGAGAGGATGCATGGCAAGGCGGTGGCTGGAGGACTGGGAGAGCAAGGTGGCGGCTGGCGGTCCCACATTTTTGCACGGATAAACTGGGAGGAAAAACTGGGGAGCTAGACAGACCATGCAACCCAGGGTTCCATCTTGGGAAAAGAAAATCTCAAAACCTCTGGCTGTAAAATTCTGTGGGGATTGCGGCGGGAGAAACTCCCAGCCTCACAGGAGTGTTCACTGGAGGGAAACACAGGGTCCTAAAATGAACACAAACTCACCCACCTGAGAATCAACACTCAAGGGCCCAATTTGCTTGTAAGTAGCAGGAAAGTGACTGAAAACCAGGGAGAGCAGAGCAAGAGGCATTTCCCTCTCTGACCCCTCCCCCACATACAGTGCCACAACGCAAGGACATGCGTCGCCCTGCCCTGGGGAATACCAAAGGCTCCACCCTTTACAGCATAACAGGTGGGCCAAGACAAAGAAATATAGCCCAAATGAAAGAACAGATCAAAACTCCAGAAAAAGAACTAAGCAACGAGGAGATAGCTGACCTCTCAGATGCAGTGTTCAAAACACTAGTAATCAGGATGCTTACAGAAATGGTTGAGTATAGTCACAAAATAGAGGAAAAAGTGAAGGCTATGTGTAGTGAAATAAAGAAAAATATACAGAGAACTAAATGAAAGGAAGGAAACAGAGGATGCAAATCAATGATCTGGAGAAGAGGAGTTAATCTGAGGAAGCTGATGCTATCTCTGGATAGATAGTATCAGAATTGAGTTGAATTGTAGAACACCCAGCTGATGTCTGAGAATTATTTGCTGGTGTGGGGACCCCCTGCCATACACACATCATAGCTGGGTCCTTTAAATAGGATGACCTTTCAACAGGAGAATTTTTTAGAATGATGAAATTATCTGTATGGTACAGGGGTAGTGCCCAATGACCCTGTGCATTTGTTAAAACCCATATAGAATTATACATCACAAAGAGTGAACTTTAGTGTATGCAAATTTAAAAAAATCAGCTAAATGTTCCGGGAATTTCAAGAGAGAATACAGTCTGTGACAAATGAATCTGGCTGTATTATATGTGAATAGCATATACCCACTGAAGGGACTATAGGAATATGAGTTGACCTAAGTAAATCTGGAAAATAGTGTCTTGAATGGAAATTTTAAGGCTAAATATAAAAGGACCTGTACATGAACACTGTATTCTAGTTGGTAAATTTATTTCTCATGGTGGTACTAGTTAACAATTCTGAACTTGCTTTGCATGTATACTAGGGTGGAATAAATAAGTAAAAGAATGATTGAAGCCAGGTTTCTCATTGTCAGAGAGAAGTTATAATAGGCCAGGGGGAGAGAGCTAGAATGAACACTGTGGTACTAGGTTAGAGTCACAGACATTGGCATAAACTTAACATATATACTGCTTAATATGTAATACAGACATAAAATGAAGCACACCCATAAAATGAAGCAATCACCCCACCACCTTGAGTGTAGGCTGCAATTAGTGACTCACTTCTAAAGAACAGAGGTACAGAAAGACAAAATAATAACTTTACAGTGGAGGAACCTAGCAGACATAACCTTAACCAAGTGATGGTAGCATGTACTCCCCAATATGATGTGATGAAAATCTTCCCTAAAATGCTTAACCTCCATCTAGTCATGAAAAAATCAAACACAAACTGAGAGGCATTCTACAAAATAACTGACTGGTACTCAAAATTATCGAGGTCACAAAAAACAAGGAAAGACTGAGAAACTGCCACAAACTAAAGGAGACTAAGGAGACATAACAAATGCAATGCAGAATCCTGTACTGGATCCTGGAACAGGAAACAGAAAGCTAGTGGAAAATCTAGCAAAATCTAAGTTTAAAATTTGGAGTTTGGTTAATGTACCAATGGTGGTTTCTTGGTTTGGATAAATGTACTTGGTTTTGAAAGATGTTATCATTATGGGAAGCTCTGTATTATCTTTGCAACTTTTCTATAAATCTATAATTATTCCAAAGTAAAAGTTTCTATTATTTTAAAAAATGGACACAAGACTTGAACACACAGTTCACCAAAGAGGACATAAATATATGGCAAAAAGCACATGACAGCATGTTCGACAACATTAGCTATAAGGAAAATGCAAATTAAAGCCATTATCAGACATCACTGCAAACCTACTAGCATGGCCAAAATTACAAAGACTGACCATACCAAATACTGACAAGTAGGCAGAACAACTAGAATTATCATACATCACTGATGGGAATACAAGGTGGTATGGACACTTTAGAAAACAGTTTAGCAATATCTTATAAAGTTAAATTACACACTTATCATCTGATTCAGCAATCCCACCACTGTGTATTTATTTACCGAAGGGAAATGATTGCATCCATGCAAAAGCCTGTACACAAGTGTTTATAACTTTTCTTTTCAACTTAGTTAAAAATTGAAGCAACTCACAGTCCTTCAATGAATGAATGGATAACCAAACTTGGTACATTCACACAATTGAATACTACTACACAATTAAAAGTAATCTTAAGGCATTATGCTAAGTAAATAAATGCATATATAAGTTTCAAATGGATACATACTGTATCAATTCCATTTCATGATAATTACTAAAGTGACAAAACTAACATGACAGAGTGGTTGTCATGAATTACTGACAGGGTGGGAAAGGTACAACCACAAAGAGATAGGGATAGATCATGAAGGGGTTTTATGAATTAATCAAACTGTTGGGACACAGACTGGGATGATGGCTACATGGATCTAAATACGTGTTAAAATTCATCAACTGTGCATAGAAAGAGTCAATTTTACTGCATGTTCATTTAAAAAAATAAATTTATGAACTAAAACAAACAAATAACCTTTCAATCAGCAGGGTTTGTCCAGGATATTTAGTTTGGATTTTATAGTCTATAAAAATTCTCGTTTATTTTGGCTACTTTTAAGATAGAGCAGTGACAAATATCACAGCTCAGTCCTGACATGTAGTCACTGGGAGATCAATAGCCTAAATGTCAGTTCCTCTAGGGAGTACATCACCTGCAAAGGAATCTAATCTGCTAACAATCACAGCCCCACCTAATTAAAGAGTAAATCCTGTCATCTACTTAATGGCATCATAAAAGAGCTTCCATTAAAGATGAAGAATATTGATTTATAGTTAGAGAATGCCAGGGAGGTAAAAAATGTTTGTGTTTAATTCTACTTCAAATGCATAGAGAACATTCTAAAAATAAAAAAGTAAAATGCAATAATTTATTTTCACCTTTATTATCAGTGAAAAAATAATTGTTTTATTTGAATAAGTAGGGCAGGGTGAAACAAAAATGTAAAACAGATAACATATATATTACATGTAAATCCCATAATGTATATACTATACATACACAAGGCACAAAACATTCAAATCCATGT